ATTGGCTTGCTGCTTGTTGCCGTCATTCTTGGACTGGTGACATGCTGCTGCTGCGGCTGCCTCAGGATCGTCGCGAGTTTGTTGTCGGGCGTTGGAATTGTGACGGTTCTGATTGTTTGGGCACTCATGGCTGATGCGTACAACCGGAGGGTGGGTGGCTGCATGTTAACGCCCTTTAAGGACACACAAAAGTACGGTGCCGGCTTTGCCCTCCTTGTGACTGGATGGTGCATTCTCTTCGTCGCCATCGTGCTTCTCAATGTGCTGTAGGTGTCGCGTATACCGCTGTTCTGCACGGATGTAAAAAGCAAAATTGTGCGGTTCAGTTGAGCCCCGCTCGACGTCGCTCTGGGAATGAACTCTGTGGTATGTCATTCGAGGAGTTGCGTTCGCTTTTGATGTGAATTTTCTTTGTGTGTATATTTTTGTTTTTATTTGTTTTTTTTGTGAGCGACGGGTGTAAAAATTTTTTGGTAGGGGATATTTATGAGAGCGGGGATATGTATGAGAGCGGGGCTGGGTGCTGTTGAACCGCATGTGCGTGCGCGTTTGCCCTGTTTGTGGTTGTGCCTGGCTGGTGGCTCCCCTCGGCGCCCTTTCCTTCCTCTTCTCCTCCTCTCCCACTGCATGCACTTCTTTCTTCTTCCATTGTGTTTGCTCCCAGCTTTTGCAAGGGACCAATTTGGCGTTAGGTGTGGGCGCACTATTGCTGTGGCTGCAGTCGTTGGCGGTGCGACGCGTTGACAATGACGCGGAGGAAGGAGCCGGATGGGGTAATCGACGCCTCGACGCCTCATTATTCTTGCTTTGAATCGAATGGTGGCAAGAGCAGTGGCAATATTGTGCCGGTTTTTTCAAACGAAGAAGTGCATGAAAGTTTTGAGCGGAAGAAAGTTTCTGTGCTTGAGGTCTTTAGGTATGCTAGCAGGTTGGATGTGGCTCTGATGATTGTTGGATCAGTTGCTGCGGTTGGTGTTGGTGCGTCTTTACCTGCCTTTTCTTTTGTATTTGGTCACATGGTGAATGATCTTCTTTCTCCCACAGACCCTGAGTCGACGACGGCGAAGACGGCAGTAATTATGGTTTATGTCGGCTTGGGCGTGGTTCTCTTGACATTTCTCTCTGTTGCTTGCTGGATGGTGGCCGCATTACGTCAGGTTGCCAGGGTGCGCCTGGAGTATCTGAAATCCGTCCTTCGGCAGGATATCGGCTGGCACGACGGTCACAGTCCGGGTTCCCTCACGGCGCGTGTGACGGGAGATATGCATGTGTTACAGAATGGCATTAACGATAAGCTGGGACAGGGGATCACAAATTTATCAATGGGCGTCTTGGGCTTTGTCTTTGGCTTTGCCCTGGCATGGGAGCTTGCCCTGGTCCTCTTGGGAATGATGCCGGTGATTGCCTTGATGGGGGCGATAATCGGGAACGTCATGGCGAAAATGTCGAATTCGACCCGTGAACATTTTGCGGCGGCCGGCTCCATCGCGACGGAGGTCATGGAGAATGTGCGAACTGTGCAAAACTTTGGGAGGGAGGATTACGAAGTGGGGCGTTTTGAGGCCGCCGTTCTGAGTGCGCAGCGGGCGGGCGTCAAGAAGGAACTGCTCAATTCAACAGCTTCTGGAATGGCAATGGCCGTTATTTTTGTCACCTACACCATTGCCTTTTTCTTTGCCTCGTACCTTATCCAGTGGGGCCGCCGCGACGTGGGCGACGTCGTCGCCTGCTTCCTGGCTGTGCTTATGGGAAGCTTTGGCATCGGGTTCGTGTCGCCTTCGTTGACGGCGTTTGCCGAGTCGCGGGCTGCGGCGTACCACGTCTTTCAGACGATCCAGCGCACGCCGGTTATCGACGTTGACGCCGTCGGTGAACCGGTGCGGGGCTTCAGTGAAACCATTGAGTTTCGCCATGTGCGTTTCGCGTACCCCACGCGCCGCGACATGAAACTATTTGAGGACCTCTCGCTCGTCATTGAGCGTGGGCGTCGGGTGGCGTTCTCGGGTGCCTCGGGTTGTGGGAAGTCGTCGATCATCGCTCTCATTCAGCGTTTCTACGACCCCATCGACGGGGACATTTTTGTGGACGGTACTGACATGCGAAAACTCTCGCTGAGGCAGTGGCGTGACCAAATCGGTGTCGTGTCACAGGAGCCGAACCTGTTTGCCGGCACCATGATGGAAAATGTTCGCGTCGGCAAGCCCGATGCAACGGAAGAAGAGGTTATTGAGGCATGTAAGCACGCAAATATTCACGACACCATCATGAGCTTGCCGGATATGTACAATACATCCGTTGGTGCTGTTGGCTCGCAGCTCAGCGGGGGACAAAAGCAGCGGCTTGCCATTGCGCGTGCCATTGTGCGGCACCCTGCCATTCTGCTCCTCGATGAAGCCACAAGCGCACTGGACCGGAAGTCGGAGTTGGAAGTGCAGGCAGCACTTGACCGCCTGATGGAGGAAGGAAGCATGACCATCATCGTTGTGGCGCACCGACTGGCGACAATTCGTAATGTCGATCGCATTTACTATTTCTCATATGATGGGGTGAAGGGGAGCGCGATTGAGGAGGTGGGGACATTTGATGAGCTGCTGGCGAAGGGTGGCAAGTTTGCCGCCATGGCCACGTCGCAGGGTGTTGGGCTTCAGTTTTCGGCAGGGGCCCAAAAGCTTCAGGCGCTGGCAGAGGGTGAAGATCGTATCAACACGTTTCTTGATGACGACGAACTTGCCAAACTGGACGAAGAACAGCCACGGACGGAGCGTCAGATGGTGCCCTTTGAAGAGTTGGCGAAGTGGGAAGCGAAGCGCGCAAAGGTGGGCGTGAGACGCCTCATTTCGCTTACGAAAGGAAAGACGGTTCACATTGCGTTTGCCGTCTTGGGATCCGCTATCACTGGTGGCACGGCACCAGCTAACGGTGTACTGTTTGGTAAAATTCTCGCCGTTCTGGGAGGATACTCCGTTGATCACGATACCCCAGCTCTGCGAAAAGGCACAAATACTTACGCTCCTTTATTCCTTGTCATGGCGGTTGTGAGCTTTGCAGGGTGGATGTTGCAGTCTCTCTATGGTTACGCTGGCGAGCATCTGACAACGAAGCTGCGTGTGATGCTCTTCTCTCAGATCCTACGGCAGGATATGAGCTTCTTTGATATCCCTGGCCGTGACGCTGGCACGCTCTCAGGCATGCTTTCTGGCGATTGCGAGGCTGTACATCAGTTATGGGGACCATCGATTGGTCTCAAGGCGCAGACCTTCTGCACCATTGCGGTTGGTGTCGTTATTGCCTTTATATACCAATGGAAGTTGGCACTTGTGGCGCTGGCATGTGTTCCACTGGTGGCGCTGGGCAACTTGGTGCAGCACCAGGTGGCGTTGGGACTAACACAAAAAAATCAAGGGACAGCCTCCGATACTGTTGTTACCGAGGCACTTTCCAACATCCGCACCGTCACCTCGTTTAACATAAAGGATGATCGTGTCGCCATTTTCCGCGAGCTTGTGCGGCAGGAGGTTCCGAGAGACACGAAGAGAAGTATTTGGATTGCCCTCATATATGGCATCAGTCAATTCATGTTCTTTGGTGCCTATGCGCTTTGCTTCTGGTACGGTGGGAAACTCATTAGTGCGGGCGAGGCCACCTTTGAGAGGGTGATTATCGCCTCTATGGCCGTTCTCCTGGGCGCATCAGGCGCCGGTGAGGCCGGTAGTTTCGCGGCAAAGGCAGCAAAGGCCTCGGAGGCAGCGAACCGGGTCTTCAGCGTCATTGACCGCGTTCCTGACATTGACGTCTACCGTGAAGGGGAGAAGCTGACAGACGAGGGTTGCGACATCACGTTCCGTAAGGTGAAGTTTATTTACCCCGCCCGACCGAAACAGCTGGTGCTAGCCGCTGTAGATGCGAACTTCCGCAAGGGCACCACGAACGGTCTCATGGGACAGACAGGTTGTGGCAAGTCAACCATCATTCAAATTCTGGCGCGTTTCTATGACTATCGCAGCGGGAAGGTCTTCATCAATGGCAAGGACCTCCGTGAACTGGATGTTTCGGCGTGGCGCGAGTCCATCAGTATTGTGCTGCAGGAGCCGGACCTCTTCAGTGGAACGGTGCGGGATAACATTCGTTACTCCTCTCCTTCCGCCACAAACGAGGAAGTGGAGGAGGCCGCCCGATTGGCGGGCATCCATGACGACATCCTGAGGTGGCCTCAAGGGTACGATACGGGTGTGGGGTACAGGGGTCGTGCTCTTAGCGGCGGCCAAAAACAACGTGTGGCGCTCGCGCGTGGCTTTCTTCGCCGTGCCAAGCTCCTCCTTTTGGATGAAGCAACATGTGCACTTGACAACGTGACTGAGGAGCGAGTTCAGGAGGGCATCAACGAATACCAGCGGAGGCACGGAGTCACCGTCATCAGCATTGCCCACCGCCTGACGACAATCCGTCACTGCGACCAAATCATACTGCTTGACAGTGGCCGTATTCATGAGTGTGGGAGCCACGAATACCTCATGTCCCTGAATGGTGAATACAGGACGCGGTGGGAGCTCTACGCGAATGTCACAACTTAGCCGTGTACAGAAGAAACCCTAAGGATCCCCTTCAGTACCACTTAAGTCAGTGTCCAGGTTTGCGCTTGTTATGTTTATTTCTTCAGCATTATACGGCAGATGCGCAGATGCACATATAAGTATAAACGTGCATAATTATTTTTTTCTCGCGGGGAGGTTGTAAGCGTGTCGTAAGAGTCATACGAAGGCCTGAGTATGGAGCAGTCTAAAAAGCCCCGCTGTGAGTCTCATGGCGGCCACATCACGATGGAACTAATAAGACATATGTATACATCCTATTACCCCCACCTTATTTTTTTTCTTGAAAGTGACGAGAGGAGCCTGCATGCATGTCTTTAAGTGGTGAGGATGGCCAAATAGAGGAAAATAAAAACGCTCGATTGCTCCTGAAAAGAAGGAGCAGGGGGATAACAATTGCATTCCAATATTGTTCTTTTTTTTCCCCTTCCCCCCCCCCTATTCCTGGGGAGGATGTCGACAGTCTTCACTTAAAGAAGTCCAACCTGTTGTTGGGGGGAGGGGGTGGGCGTACACACACACGCACATCTTATGAAAAAAAAATGAACAAAAAAGTCAAAACATAGCACAAGGGAGAAAGCAAATGTAATGAGTGGCGTTATAAAATCCGTGTGTGCTTGTGTGGGGCTGGGTTTGCACTTTTTCCCCCTATTTTTATCACGTTTCACCTCTCCTGGTTACAACTACGACTGTTTTCTTTCTGGAGGGGGGAGTATGCTTGCTGTGTTTTCTGCTTATTCACCCCTGATGCCGCGGCCTTTGCCGCCCGCCGCGAGCGCTGCCTGCCCCCCGTCGAGACGCTCACACGTACTTCTTTCTTTCTCTGAATTGCTCTACTGGATGTGTCATCGTGTCTCTCCGTTGCTTCGCTTGAAGCTCCGTGTGTGCAGGGGGGCGGGGGGAGAGGGGCAGGAACTCTACAACGAAGGGGAGGGAGAGACGTCACCAGGAAAAAGTGGTTCCCCGTCACCAACGTACCATACATACAAGGCTCGAAGTGGGGGGTGGCGTGATGGCACATATCGATTTTAGGAAGGCGGCTGTGGTTGGTGTGGATGACCTTGTCCTGCTTCCGCAGCTTTCCGACAGGGCCATCATGGAGAACCTCAAGTTGCGCCACAGCAAAGATGTTATCTACACGAGTATTGGCCCGGTTTTGTTAAGTGTGAATCCGTTCAAAAAGATTCCAAACTTGTACAGTGAGGAGCGCATCGCCTTCTTTCGGGGTGGCGGAAAGAGTAACGGGACGGTGGTTGGGAGCAGCCATGGCGGGCCCCACGTGTTTGGTTTGGCGGAGGAGACCTACCGCACCATGGTTGCGGAGGAGGAGAATCAATGCGTCATCATCTCAGGGGAGTCGGGGGCGGGAAAGACGGAGGCGTCAAAGCAGATTATGCAGTACGTCTCCGCAGTCTCGGGTAACACGGCGGAAATGCAGCGTGTAAAACGGATCATTTTGGTGTCTAATCCCTTACTGGAGGCCTTTGGCAACGCAAAGACTGTACGGAATGACAACAGTTCTCGTTTTGGGAAGTTCTTTGAAATATTTTTTGATCGAATGGGTGGTCCTGTTGGCGGACGCATGTCGAACTTTCTTCTTGAGAAGTCACGGGTAGTTGGCCAGCAGAAAGGAGAGCGGAGCTTCCATGTTTTTTACCAGTTATGTCACGGGGCTGCTCCGGCGCTACGTGATAGGCTGCGGCTACTGCCCCCCGGCGACTTCTTCTACCTGAACCAGGGCGGCACGCTGGAGTGTGAAGGCATTGACGAAAGGAAGGCATGGGCGGAGACGCTGGCGGCAATGAACGCAATGTCGATTTCAATGGCGGATCAACAGTCCATCTTCGAGACCCTCGCCCTCATCCTGCACCTTGGGCAGCTGCAGTTTGCGTCGTCCGCGGCAGGCCGTGAAGACGCTGCGTTGCTGGTTTCAAATAGGGATGAACTGGATTTTTGCGCCATGCTCTTGGGCGTAGACGCGGCTGCGCTGGAGCGGGCCCTCACATGGAAGCGGCTGGAAATGGGCGCAAGCGAGGTAGTCAACGTCCCTCTTGACATGCAGCAGTGCCGAAATGCCCGTGACGCTATTGCAAAGACACTATACCACCACTTGTTTGACTTTGTCGTGCAGTCGGTGAATGTGGCTCTCGGGGAGAAATCGCACGATTTGATGCTCGGCGTTCTTGACATTTACGGATTTGAGATCTTTGAAAAGAACGGGTTTGAGCAGTTCTGCATTAACTACGTCAATGAAAAACTGCAGCAGATCTTCATAGAGTTAACTTTGAAGGTGGAGCAAGAGGAATATGTGCGGGAGCAGATTCCATGGGAGGAGATCAGGTATTTCAACAACAAGGTTGTATGCGACCTCATTGAGGGGACTCAGCCGCCCGGGCTGTTTGCCATCATTGATGATGTGTGTGCGACGATGGCGAAGGAAAAGGAGTCCGTCGCCGACATCAAGATGCTTGACAAACTAGACGCCGTACACTCCGGCAACCCCCACTTCAACAGGACAGAACGAGGGTTTCGTGTCCAGCACTACGCAGGAGATGTGCAGTACAACGCGGAGGGCTTCACAACCCGCAACAAGGACCTCCTTAGTGTTGACATCGCATCGATGCTTGGCTCTTGCTCTAACCGTTTTTTGCTAACACTCCTCGCGGAGACCATTGCGGGTGTTTCACAAGGTGGCACCGGTGGACGGAACACACGTGTGACGACCACAGGACTTAAGATGCGACAACAGGCAGCAAATCTTGTCAAGACGCTGATGGGGTGCAACCCACACTACGTGCGCACCATCAAATCAAACGACGAGAAGCGCCCCGGTTTCATGGATGATGCCCGAGTTATGCACCAGGTGAAATACTTGGGCCTCCTCGAAAACGTTCGCGTTCGTCGCGCGGGATACAGCTATCGGCAATACTTCAATAAGTTTCTCCGGTGCTTCAAATTTCTTAGCCCGGAGACGTTTCCACGCCCCTTCAAGGGCTCCGACCGTGATGCTTGTTCTGCCATTCTGCGTAGTGTCGGTGATGCCTTACCGCAGGGCTCCTGGCAGCTGGGCCAGCATAAGTTGTTTATTCGACAGCCACAGCATCTGTTCTTACTTGAGGACCTCCGTGAGGCCGCGCTTGACAATATTGTCTTGAAGATTCAACGCGCTTGGTGCCGATATCAGCAGAATAAGGATGGCATTCTCCTTAAGGCGTGTCTGGGGCGCATGTATTCCAAGGCCGGGAAGGCACGACGGGCGGACAGCGTATTTCGCCCCTTCTCCGGCGATTACCTTGACTATCGCAACAAACTTCAGCAGCTTCACCCATACGTGGAGTTTGACCCCATTGGGAGTGCATGGAAGGAGTTCTGGACCGATGCGGGGCAGCGCTATTATCATAATCCGATTCTCCAACGGACTCAATGGGAACGCCCAAGGGAGATGTCTCCGCAGAGAATTGTTTTTACTGCCCTTGTGGAGCGGGTTGTCGATCATCAGAAGGCTTTACTTGAGAAAGAATTTTGCATTATAACGGATTTGGCCGTTTACCTGATACAAGAACGCTTGGAAACTGTGGCACAGCCGCCAGCGAAGCCCACTAAAAGGAATATTCGCCCGGTACCGCGTACAACTTCTACAGTGACGAGGTACATTCTTCAGAAGCGACTGGATTTGCGCCTGTTATCGGGGATTTCTGTCACCACGCACGCGGATACGGTTCTTGTGCTGCATTTTTACCAACCCACTGTCCCGTACCGCTCGATTGTAACGAGCTCACCATCAGCAAAAAATAAACGGACTCATCTGTGCGAGTGTTGCGGGGGAAAACTGTCACCGGCAGCGAAGAGGCAGAATTGTCCTGGGTGCGGACGCCTTTGCTGTGTGAAAAATTGTTTGCAGTACAGTCGGCCGCTCCCTATGCTGCTCGGACACAGCAAACCGGTACGGGTGTGCCCTAGCTGTGTGCACGGCGACCCTTTTGAACCGGTTGAGGATGTGGTGTTAATGACTTCCATGAAGACAGAGATCGCGGCCCTGTTAAGAAAGTGGTATCGAATTTTGATGGGGAACAAAATGCCAATAACGATAAGCGACTCCCTCGCATACCATCTATTTGGTGAGAACCAGCAGTGGATCCTCACATCAACAGCTTCGGCTTCCATTTCTGAAACGATACTCATCTCGGCTGGCCCATTTGCCCTTGCGGTGAGCTCGCCGTTGGGTATTCCCCAAGAAATGATTCAGGCGATTGAAGCTGCACGGGAGCAGCGACGCGTCGCGGCAGCGGAACGACGCAGGAATGAAGAAGAGGAGGAACGGGCGCGCGAGGTGGTCCGCGAGAGGGAGCGTGAGGAGGAGCATCGTCGTGTTGTGGAAGAGCGCAAAAGGGCGAGAGCCGCAGCAGAGGCGCGGCAAGAAGCGGAGCGGCTGCAGCGCGAGCAAGCTATTCGCGCCCAGCGAAAAGAATCGGCAAGAATTGTCGCGGAACGAGCTACACGGTATCAATAATTCTGACAAGCGAGATAATCTGCGTTTTTGGCAATGTGGTGTTTTTAACGCCTCTACAACTTCAATTTTGCCCCTCGTCAGAAGTCTTGTTTGGTTTTGTGGGTGGTATTGTTGCTGTTTTTGTCATGTGCCGTGATTCCCCTTCTTTTTTTGTGTGTGTTAGTGTTGACGGTGTCTCAACCTCCCTCGTCATATGCGTATGAGTGTTGTTGCGGACCGCTCTCTGCTTTTGTCTCTCTCACTCTCTGCGTATTTGTGCTTGTGTGTGTGTGTGTGTGTCTATTCCCTCTGCAGCTGCACTGATGATGGGATCATCGGCGTTGGTGGAGCAGGAGAGCGAAACTGCCATGCACGCCCGAGTTGAACTGCTGCAGCGGGAGCTCCTTAGGAAGCAGTCGGAAATTGACTCTTTCCGTGCCCTCTCAGCAGAGAACAAGTACCTGCGAGAAAAGCTCATGGCGCTCCAGGACCGGGTGCATCTGCTGACGGCAAACTGGACAGAGCCCGCCACTGGCGATGGCATCTCACTCCGGGCACAGCTTCTGGTGTACCAGCGGCACAGCCGTGTGCTTCAGGACGAACTGGATCGCAAGGAAGAGTCCATCGCTGAGCTGCGTGGGCAAGTAGAGCAGGCGGAGGATGAACTCGTTGCTTCTAAACGACGCTGCGGCATTCTTTTTGAACGCCTCTGTGCGGTTGGTGCAGTATCGCCCGCCAACAACAACGAGGAGGCAGTGAACGGTGGAATGTTGGGGTCGGGCGTTATGGATGAAGACGACCCAACGAGTTTTTTCTCACTTGTCCGCAAGCTCCACGGGGTTGAGATGGAACGGGACCTGCTGCAGGAGAAGTTTCTTTCCCTCCAAGAGGACCACGAAAGACGGGGGGTTCTTGTCACGTCGATGCGGCGTGAAAACGCCGCACTTCGTGCCTCTGTCTCGAAGCTCATACGGCATGTGCAGCTAGGGAGCGCCATGGAGAATGGTACAACCGTGCCACCAACGACGGCTGTGGAGGGACGGGATGACGTTGCTGTCGATGCCCGTCGAAAATTGTTGGCGTACCACGCACAGAAAGAAGTGAAAAGGACTGAGGCCACCCCCTCTGATGCGCAGGGCGGATGAGCGGCGATGCCTTTGCAATCGTCTTTAGTTTGCTTTCCTTTTGCTTTGGTGGCGGTCTCTCTTTCTGCCCTCTCTTTCTTAGCTGTTGCCACTTTGTGGTGGAAGTCTTCATTGGTCCATTGTCGTCTTTTCCCCCTTTGTCTCTCATCATGGTAGAGTTGTCATGGGAAGTAGTGGGATCCAGCTGACGTATTGCTGCTTGTTGCCTCTCTTTTTTTTCTTGCTGTTTTTTTGGGCTCTTTTGCGGTGAAGCGACCGGAGTAAGGAAGAAGTAGAGGCGAGGGAAAAGAGGTGGCGTGTGAGACAAGACGAATGTCAAACGATCCGTCGATGAACACTGCGCTGCTGAACTTCTGCACATCTGTCAGCGCGGGGTCGGGAAACGGAACTCGCGGCGCAGCCCCGCATCGCAACCCGGAGGAGTTGCAGTGGCTTAAGGAGGCGCTGGCGTCCGTTGAGGCGCCGGAGCGGCAGATCAAACGTCTTTTGGAAACTGTCTCACGCGATGAGGTCACGGAGGACGAGTGCGTCGCCGCGCTTGAGGAGCTGAGTGAGTTGGTTGAGGACGTCAATTGGGCTATTGAGTTCTCGCTCATGAGTGGTCACCGCGTCTTGCTGGAGCTGCTGCGCAGGGAACAGCTGGCGCCGAAAAGCGAGCAGGTTCGTCAGGCGGCGGCGATGGTCATTGCCCACTCTGCTCAGCTTAACGAGAGAGTGCAAAAGTGTTTTGAGGAGGCGCAATGGCAGGCGGTGCTGCTGCCATTGCTGCGAGAGGAGAAGTCTCCTGCTGCATTGGCCGCTCTCCTGCACAGCTGTAGCTGTCTTTGTCGTGAGTACGCCCCAAATGTCCTTCTTTTTAGCAAGGCCGGGGGAAACGAACTCATCGTTGCCATGTTGGCAGCGCATGGTTTGGAAGGAAGCAACGACAAGAAGATTCTTAAGCGGGTGCTGTTTCTCCTAAGTTATCTCGCGGACGTGCTCGATATCGCCACAGAAGATCTGCTTCGCTGCATCTCTGTGCATGCCGCGAACACGGATGAAGACGTGCAAACCTCTGTGGCGCAAGTCCTCATTGTCTGTGCCAAAAAATCCTGCGCCATTGTCAAGCGGGTGTTGAATGAGGTGGCGCCCGAGTGTCCCGCACGCTGGAGGAGCGCCTTGCTTGACGAGGACGACCCCAGGAAGCAGCTGGTACGTAAACTGGAGAAAGAGGACCACGACGGATAACGCGAGTAAGCGAGCAACAAAGACACAGGGCCAAAAGAAGTTTCCGTTGGCAGCCCGGGTTTATTATTATTATTACTATTATTATTGTTCAACAGTATAACCTGATTCATATATTGTTCCTGAAAAGGACGACTGGCGGTGTGCCCCAAGTGTTGGGTGCCAAGAGAGTGGAGTGGCTGCTTTGCCTGCTTCCTCTGCCCCTTCGTTCTGCGCCAGCTTGCACTCTCAACTTGTCCTCCCCACATTCTGTGTTTCTGCGTTGTCCCATTCTTCCTGCCAAGCTCCCTTTCAGAGCCTGTGCACACGCACGCAAGCATATTTGCTTGGGTCAAACAACGCAGAATATAGGACAAACATGCCAATGAAGCCCGTCGCGGTGGGGACACTTCCTGCAGACCTCATTGATGCCATTCGCGGCGGCGCCGTGACGCTTAAACAACTCCACGATGACATACTTTTGTTCCACGACGAGAAGGGAAGTGTTGAATGGCGCTGTACGCTTCAGCCGGGGGAGGTGTATTCGTACAGACACCAACAGACAGGTGCCAGCGGGTCTGCGCAAGTCTCCCGTTTTACCGCTGTGCAGAAGGCAACGACGCGACCGGAGGAGGAGGAGGAGGAGAAGAGAGCACCAACAGCAAGTGCAGCAGAGGACACGCATCCACCGCCTCTGCATAGAGCCGCGACGGCAACTACTAAATCCTCCGCCGTCGTACAGCAGCATCGTTCCCTGGCGATTAAAATTGCACATCTCTTAGCGCCGGCACCCAGAGATCATCGAGATCTCCTTCGCTCCTTTGCGGCTGAGAACGGAGACGCATTGAGTGCTGTGCTGGGTGTTATCACAGTGCCCAATCGCCGTGGGCAGCGCGAGCTCGCGGAGGCCGGTTACGAACTCATAGACATCGAATACTACAATTCCAAAGCGGTTAAACAGCAGGTGGCAAATCTGGCCCTTCCAAAAGTTGCGCACAACAAAGCTCTTTTGGATCGTTTTGCCTTATATGCAGACCGGGACGTGATGCTTGCAACCTGTTCAAGAGGCATCATGGCAGGACTCGGAAGCTCCAAGCGAAAGCGGGACGAGGACAATGATTCAGAGGATGTAGCAAGCGACGAGGGCGCGCCAGGACGACGGGCGGAGGAACCCGCGCAGGAGGCCGCAATGACGCTCTTCACCTCCATGGATCAGAGCGGCATTCGATGGACGGATGGTGACCTCGCCAAGGGGCAGTGGGTGCTGTCCTCTGCGGCAAAGGTGGTGTTGGACCGACGACAGCGAGTAGACACCGCGGTGGGCTCCGGAGAGCAGCGGACGCTAAGGCCCATGCCAATTGTAGACGCGTCACAGCTTGTTGCTGCGCAAGGCGACTATGCCATTTTGCGAAAGGAGTACATTGATGTGTATGGCATGTTGAAGCGTCTGGAGAATGTATCTGAGGCGGCAAGGGGGTGGTGCCAGTCCAACGCTAATCGTATATCGGGGGAGCTTCGTGAGGAGATGCAGCGGTGGTTTGCCGCTCAGGAGCATCCCTGGACGACTCTCATTGCCTCGTTCAACAACCTCCATAAGGCGCTCTACCAACTGAAACGGGAAATTGAAGACTATGTGAACCTGCGCGAATGGGGTGTCTTGAGTTGACTGGAACTGCTCTGTTTCATGCTTTGTTTCCTTCGAAAAGAGAGAGAAAAAGTAAAAAAAAACAATAAAAAAAAAGAGAGGCCGCCGTCCTCCAGCAGAAAAGTTTGCACGAAGTAAAAGGGAGAAGCTCACTCTGGGGAGTGTGAGAATGTGGTGTGGGTCTATGCACGTAATGAGGTTTTTTTTCTACGCCTTCTATACCCTCTCCTGTGTTGCTGTCGTCGCGTAGTGTTGAGTCCGCTTAGTTGCACGCAAGGACAAGGATGACTTCATCGGAGGCCCATCGGTTGACATCACCCCCAACCCCGCTCGGGGCCGAGCTGGATCAGGAGCTCAATCCTCAACGTGCTAGCGAACTTACTTTGCAGCCGCCGCGGTCGTCGTCGTGCGAAAAAGACGACATGCACGAAGACCACATTAGCTTTCTCCGCACCGTGAATGCCTTCCGCTCCTACAGGAGTCGGGCACTGGGCGCTCGGGAGATGCGGTTAAACAACTTCATGCGCTTTCATCAGCAGCATCAGCAAACTCTATGTCTTGACTTGGATCGTATGTTCAGTACCTACCTCGATTGCATTGAGAGCAACAGTCGCTTTTTTGAATCTATCTGTAACGCATCCACGGAACTCTTTGATTCTTACTGGCCTACGGGCACCACGGTGCGGGAAGAGGATGTCCCGGGGCCCACCCCGCTAGATATTGACAAAGTATTTACGACACTCCGTCAGTTTGTACGGGACTGGTCAGCAGAGGGCGCCCCAGAACGGAACTCTGTGTACCTGCCGATTCTCACTACACTAGAGGCTTCCTACCCCGATCGCGCAGCAAGAGCGGGCGTTAAAATTCTTGTCCCCGGCGCTGGTTTGTGCCGTCTCTCCGTTGAACTCGCTCTGCGTGGGTTTTCCGCGCAGGCAAATGAGTTTAGTTATCACATGCTTATCGCAGGGCACTACATTCAGAATCATGTTGTTTCCTCTTGTCAGCACACTATCTACCCCTACGTGGACAACACTAGCAATCTTGTGAACCGAGAGGATCAGTTTGCGGATGTGCATATTCCTGACTTGTGCCCCTTTGAGGCTATTGATAACCTTCGTGCGGAGGAGCAGTATTTCTTTGGTGAGCTTTCCATGGTGGCGGGTGACTTCACAGAGGTTTATGCCAGGGAACATCAGCGCAAAAGCTGGAATGCCGTGGTCACTTGCTTCTTCATTGACACAGCGCACAACATTGTGGAATATATAGAGATTATTTACAACCTGCTTGTGCCAGGAGGGTACTGGGTGAATGTTGGGCCACTGCTATACCACTTTGCAGATTCCTCAGATGACGTGTCCATTGAACTCTCACTGGGGGAGGTTCTCACGGTGGCGCAGCGCATTGGATTTGTTCTTCTCCGCCAACCGGAGTTTATCGACACAACTTATACGAATAACCATCGAAGCATGAAGCAGCTCGTTTACAGATGTGCTTTTTTTACACTTCAGCGCCCGCTTACAGCCGACAAGGAGCGAGAGCAGCAGGATGGAAACCCCACTGCGACGAAGATCTAAAGAAGCAATAAAGAAAGACAAAAAACAACAAAAAACAGGCGTTGATCTGCACACTTATATATAAACCCACAACAATGTAGTGGAAAAAAAAGAAAGAATATATATATATATATATATATTTGGTAATGAAAGGGAAATGAGGGAGTGATTGCGTTTGAGCAAGCAATTGTCGAGAATGGCGGTGACAGAAGAAAATGGACGAAGAACGAAGAGTGCGCGGTGTATGCGACGCAAATGAGTTAAGCAGGTCGTTCCTTCGACGCTGAAGAGCCCTGTCACCGAAGCGAAGTCTGTTACTGGATTACTCTTATTGTCTGTCTCTTTGTTTCCCACTTCGCCGGTGTGTGCCCGGGGCATTGCTATTTACCAGAATTAATTCTGAGGAGTTGTCTGCATGAATAAACGCTGATTTTTGCCTCTTGGAATGTTCCTTTTGCCGTGGGTGTTTAACGGTGGCGCACGGGCAGTTGAGGGAAAGCGGGCCCCGTCGCGGAAGGAAGTAAGTAAGCGTGTGGTACTTGTGCTGATGGCTGGAGGCAATAGGAATGGGGTTACTTGGAAAAGGGGTTAATGGGTATAAAAAATTCAGTGAACTTATGTTATGTTTTCTTTGGGTGTTGAAGTCGCGTTTTCTCTGTCATCTTATCTCTCTCTCTTTTTTTTTCAAGAAGTTCCCCTGATCCTGGTCGTCATTCGTATTCTCTCCTCTTATTGAGCTTCCAGGCGACAGAAGCAAACGGTGACAAATACGACACGGAGCACACCATCACCGTGTGTGAATTTCGCCTTTCCCCCGGTCTGGTGCTTGTGTTGCCACTTTGCGACTTCCCTGCGTCCCATTGTGTTGGGTTCGTTGTAGCCGTGCACCCCTTTTTCATCCCTTTTTTCTTTCCTTCTTTCTTACTCTCCGCGGTCATCTGCCGGCGTGTTTCTAGACATACCCACAGCAGCCTGCCACGACACGAGCCTCATGGCACAACCCCAGAAAGGGGGCGACGGAGCGGCTATGGAAACTACTGGTGGGGGGCAAGCTCACGAGCCATCCGTACATCGCATTGTTTGTCTCAGTGAAATTGCCTCCACTGTCAGCCCACTTTACCGCTACTTTTCCTTTCCAGTTCGTCATAGTAAGAGTGCAAAAGAGCCTTACGTACCTCCTTGCATTCGCTGCCCGAATTGCAAAGGATGTCAGCTGCATTTGCAGTTCTGCAGCGGAGCCTACGGGATGCGACATGTTCTGGCGTGGATTCTCCGCAGGCAACCGCCAAAAGCGGGAAAACCTTGGGCCATCAAGCTGCATTGTGATACAGGAGAGAATGAGGACAACACCCTTTCCAGATGTTCTGTGTGTCGCTTCGAAGTGGGCCCTGCGGTTATCACAAATCACATCATTCATTGTTCGCGGGAGCAAACGAGGGAAACCGCGGAGCGAGGAGGGCGTACTGGCACCTTTGCCGGCATGGCATGCCCTCGGCCACTGAACTTTATTGATGTTTACTACAGCATCTTCCTTGCCACCACTCAGAAAGGAAGAGAGAAGAAAAAATTTAGGATTGTGCAGCGTACCGCAATGCGGGCCGTCGCAGCACAAGCAAGGGCACTCTGGGAAAAACTTACCTTCTCTCAAGAGAGGTATAGTAAGCAGAGGTCAGAAGAAATAAAAGCAAAGACTGGGGAAGCGGTTGGTCCTCGGCGTGTCCCAGTTGACTGGAGGTGCCCTTGGTTTTTCCTTTCACTTCTTCCGTGTGCTTTGGTGGGCAACGGAGGTATCACGTTTCGCTTGTGGCTTTGCGAGTTTGACCGCCACATGATCACTTCATACATCATTGAAGATGGAGACTTCTGGCGAGCTAAGCACACGTGCGCCTCGCGAAACGAAACGAATACTTCGGAGTGCGTTGACGCCACAGCCCCTGCCTCGCACCTCAATTGGGAGGGCGAAGTGAAGTGCCGGCGCTGCTACCCCCCCGAGTGCTCCTGGGGACTCATCTCCAGGCGCCACCGAGAAGAGCAAGATCCGAGGCTTACCATCCTGCGGGTACGTCGCGGATGTATCAAACGGGGGGTAACACGACGGGCGATGCAATGTCGTCATGGCGGCGATTGGGGCCCCGGCAGAAACGATGTGGCATGGGTTAATAAGCACAAAACACGTGCTCAGTTTATGGCGCTCTTGGTTGCATACTTGATGCGCACAACAGTCTGTGGACCGTACAGGCAGCGTCATATCACTTCAGCCCCTTCTTTGCCGTCTGGAGCCCCTTCAGAAGTGATCTTGGGCACCCTCTGACATATTAATTTAGCTTGTTGGTTTTTCGTTCATTCTTCTCGTTTTATTCATTCTTAACAGTTGCGAACGACGCAAACGAGCGTCAGCTCTGCCTTTTTATTTCTCACTTTTATCTTGAGGTCTTGCGCAGATACGCTCAAGGCTTTAATTGCCGTGTGTGTGTGTGTGCGTGTGCCTTCCCCCTTGGCATAAACGCGTGTTGCTAGTCCGCATGTGTGTGGGTCACAGTTTATAATTATATATATATATATAATTATTCTTCTTTGGGAGAGGGGCTTTTTTTTTGCTTGCGGCGCTAGGGGAGCTTCTCAGAGCCGGCCTACACTTTTCTGCTTGTTGTTGCTGTTTATGTGGGTGGGCCTCCTCCGTTCACCGCTGCTTCCAGCTTCATCATTTTCATCCCTTTGTTGTTGTTGTTTTTTGCTCCCTCCTCTTCGCCGCAGGGTGTTGCTCACGACGAGACGGCATGGATTCCTCCAGGAAACTGTCAAAGACAGTGCCGCAGGGGAACGCGGGGCGACGTTCCCTGATGCATGCGGAACCACCCAAAAATCATGGCGTTAGGCTCAGGCGCGCTGACGTAGAGGCGGCATTTGCGTTCTTCGATGTACAGAACAAAAAGGAATTAAAACCCCGCGACCTCAAGGCGCGCCTCACCGCCTTTTACCCCAACATGACGAACAAGGAATTGAAATTCCTCCTTGATGAGTCCACGGATGGCAGCTTCACTGTGGAGTCGCTTTGGAGCATCATCGACAACTACAACGGGATGCAGACCTCGACGCTGGCGGCGGAGAGCTTGACGTTTGACCCTGTGAGGGAGGCGTTCAAAATTTACGATCCGCAGGGTAGCGGTGTAGTTGATGTGGAGGTGTTGGCTGGCATCATGAAACGCATCGGATTCGGGGAGCTCTCGCAGGAGGAGATGGAGCTGATGATTCAAACTGCAGACTTTGATAAGGACGGAAACATCAACCTAGAAGACTTTCGTAATCTCTTGAAAATTGACAGGTAGAGGGCGGCTTAAAGAGAGTGCAAACTCACTACACACACATATATATATATATATATATATACATATATCTGATGCTCATGCGCTGAGATGGGAGGAAGCGCGAACGGACTCTCCCGTCCACCCTTCTACCTCTTTTCTTTTTTTGCCACTGCTGCTGCTGCTGCTGCTGCCTTCAGCTGTGTGCGCCCATGTATGGCATGTAACCGTTTTGAGAGGAATTGTGGGAGAACGCGGGCGAGAGAGTGTGGCACGCCCTCTGCCGTGCCTCTTTATCTGCCACATGTGAATCATCCAGCAGTACCACTGATGCCATTCCTACTACTATTTGGTTCAACTGGTTGGTGTTTTTCGCTTGCCGTGGAGGGGCAATCGGCAGCAGCAGAAGACACGAGAATCAAAAGTTTTTTGGTACGGGTTTGCCATTTTCTTTAGGTGCAAAACGTAAATAGAAGTAACAAGGGAAAAGCCGCCGACAAGTAAGGGCGAAGGAAACAAGAAAAGAAATCTAAATGGTCACGGAAAACCCAAAAAGCGACGTCTCCGTCGAGCAAGCTCTGCTAGAGGAGTTTCCGAACCTCCAATTACTCCCACAGACGAACCAGCTGAGGTTTCTCTTCACCATCATTCGCAACGAGAAGACGCCCCGTACCGACTTTGTGTTTTACTGCGAACGAATCATTCGCCTCGTAGTGGAGGCGGGACTCAATCTGATTCCTGTTGTGCCAGCGGATGTAATGACACCCACCGGCGTCGTCTACCACGGCTGCAAGCCTGATCCAAAGGGCATCATTGGCATCAGCATCCTTCGCGCCGGTGAGTCGATGGAACGCATTCTCCGTGAAACATGCCGCGGCATTCGCATCGGGAAGATTTTGGTTCAGCGAGACGAGAGAACAGTTGAAAAGTCTCCGGATGAGCGGTATCACTACAGCAAGATTCCAAAGGATGTGGCCGGTCGTCGTGTGTTGCTCCTCGATCCCATGATTGCATCGGGCGGCAGCGCCATTCGTGCCACGGAGATTCTGCTGGAGGACTACAACGTGAAGGAGGAGAACATGGTCTTCCTTAACCTTATCACCTGCCCAGAGGGGATCCGGCGGTATATGGGCAAATTTCCGAAGGTGCGGGTGGTGACTGCGGCAATCGATGGGGCTCTAAATGAGTCCAAGTACATCACCCCCGGACTTGGCGATTTTGGTGATCGCTACTTTGGGACACAAGACTAATACAGTTCTAGGTGTTCGTAGGAGGTAGAAAGCTGAGGTACTTCAATCTGTGCCCCCCCACCCCCCTCAGCTCTTTTTCTTTTTGTAGGTTGGCGGCAGTGAGGCTGTGGGGTCCGAACGAAGGAGGGAGCAAAGAAATAAAAATAAAAAATAATAGTAATAATAATGCTCCGCTAGTTTTGGCCATTTTTTACTTTTCTAGGGAATGCGGGTGACAAGAGATGTTATGAATGGCTGCTGTTGTCGACGCGTACGCAGGTCCGAAGCGTCAGTGCCTTCACGACATGGGTGTGTAAAAATACTTGATGTGCACACAACTACACAATTCCTGTACGTACACGGATTTTTTTTGTACATGGGCTACCGGTTTTATTTTCATCGACTTGGCTTTTCATTCTTTCCCTGGGTGGGATATGCATTTATTTATTTGCTCCCAACTCTCTTCTGTTTATTTATTCTTTTCTCAGCGTCTCCAACCCTTCCAAGTCTACGTTGTAAGGATGCAGCAATAAATAAATCTCCACTGTTTCACGGCCTTCTCTCTGCCTACTGCTCTTTATCATACCGTAGCCCGGACGACGAAGGAAGGAGAGAAGGGGTGTGCGCTGAAGTAGTACCAGGGAGTTACGACGATCCTGAACTCATAACTGAAAGGATTAGAATTAATATATATATATATATATTCTCAGGATTAAGATGAGTTACTTTGAGAGGCTTAATGTAAACGAAATTTTTTTCGCCAAAAAAAAAAGTCAGCTGTGGGAACTCTGCAGCCGATAACAATTCCTTGCAAAGAGGATGCTGCGAAGTGCTGAAAGCAGCAGTTTCACTGTTGCCACTGCCGCGTGAATTTACTGTGCTGTGTACAGTTGCAATGCCGTCTGTGCAGTGCCTTTGTCTTCCTTTCATTTTTTTCTTTGGTGTCTGTGCGTGTGTGCGGGGGGGGGGGATGATGATGGGCATTTTTGTTGCTGTTGGCCTTCTGCACTCCAAAGAGCAAGTGTGAGGGATCGACGACGACGACGACGACGACGACATGAGCAGCGCCCTGCCGCCCGAAGTTGCGGCTCAGGCTCAGGCGAGACGGGAATTGGCCGCCAACCTGGGGAAGTTGCAAAAACTGCTGCTGGCGCTCGCAAAGATGCTGCCTCTCGGAAGCGGTGCTCGTCCCGTGGAGGAGGTTTTGGCCTATTTGCAGAAGGAGGATGCCCCTCGTCTCGCCAGTCTGGTGGAGGACCTGAAGCAAGAGGTTCACGGGGCCGGCGATGTGAACGACGAGGAGGCGGCGAGGTGGAAGGAGCAAGGAGCCAAGGCCTACGAGATGGGGAAAACGGACGAAAGCGTGCTCATGTACACCCGTGGGGTGATGTATGCCAGTCAGGACGACACCCTAGCCTCAATCCTCTATAACCGCAGCACCGTCTTTTTGAACCAAGCACGCCTTCTGGAGGCGCTGGCAGACGCCCATGTGGCCTTCACCTTAATGCCAAATAACTGGAAGGCATTGGAGCGTCGTGGTGTGTGCTTGCAAAAGTTGGGATTTGAGGAAGAGGGTAAAGCAGATATTCACGCAGCAGATACTGTAAGTGTGGAATCCGCAAATACAGCCAAGGTGATCGCAAACATTTTACATGTTGATGGTGGCAGGTGCGAAGATGGGGCAATGACCTTACTGGGAGGAGGGGTGTCTTCCCCTCATCCGAATAATACCACGTACAACGACAACTTGAAAGGGGTAGAGGCAAGAATTCGTTTGGAGCCTGGAGCAATTTTCACGGAAACACCCGTTGTCCATGCGTTATATGATGATCATTGGGGTATACGCTGTAGCTACTGCTTACGCGTGACACAAGCCTTGTATCCTGGAACTGCCTATCGTGAAAAAGGAAAGTTGTCTCGAGGACTCTTTTGTAGCGAAGCGTGTGCCCGCCTCTGTTGGGAACGCTATGGTCAATACGAGAGCGCAAACCCCTTCTTTCAAATATGCCCGATCGATGCCCTGGTTGCAAGTCGTATGTTGTGTTCTGAAGATGCAGTCTTACGGTGTCAGTCGCTTCGTGGGGACTTTACAGGTGAGTTGTACCCTGTGGCTGTCATTGGGGGCTATGAAACTGCTGTGAGCCTCTCTGCACTCTTGCTAGACGCAGTGCGTGTAAAGGACGCGGATCACCTGCGGTTTGCCCAGCGTCAAGTCTTATTGTGCAGCTTCGAGATAAAGTTCTACGCGGGGTCACAGGTTGCGATAGATCCGGAAACTCGAGAGGCGCTTATTGCTGAGTCGCGACCGATACCCGTCGGGAAGGCGCTGTATGCGTCTGCCGCACAGTATCGTCACTCTTGTGACCCAAACTGTTTTGCCTCATTTGTAGGGAATCCGCTTGGCTGCTCGCTTTATCTCGCCATTCGTGCCATACGACCTGTCCGTGCGGGCGAGGAGCTTACCATTGCCTACCATAACATGACAACATACAAGGCCGTGAGCGCTCAGTTCCGGCGCCGTGCCCTTGCTGAACGCTGTGGCTTCATATGTAACTGCAAGGCATGTCTTGAAAACAAAGATGAACGTGTGACCGTCGAAAAGAAGGGTTATTACATTCAGGCAAGTGATTTGTATCAAAAAGGTTGTCGTTTGATTCGTGAAGGCCAGTATGATGTTGCTGTCACGGTTCTGTCACAGAGCTATACTATTGCCATGGAGCAATTGTGCCCTCCGCCCCGACCCCCACAGTCCATGATTCCAAAAACGCACATGGCTCTTGCGAGAGCATTTAATCACCTAAAGGATAACAAGAAATGTGTGGAGCACCTGCTTGCCAAGATAGAGTTGGACCGGCAACTCTACGGTGTAACACATTTGGAGTTTATAGACGATTACATTCGTCTTGCTTACTTTGCACCCACCGAGCAGGAGAGGGGGGAATTTGCGCAACAAGCGAAGTCCCTTCTGTCTCGCTTCTATGCCCCATCGAAGGAGCTACTTGCACAAATGGGTCGAGTAGATTTGTTTGTGGCACGAACATGGTCTTAACTCGCCGCGTTTCCTCTGGATTCCGGTTTCTTCTGCCTCCATCTCGTTTGCTTTGCCACTGGAAGCGAGTGTGGGGGATGTTGCACTTGTTCATTTGAAGTATTTCTGCGGCTGTGAAGGACGGTTACCTTTGTCGTGAGATGTCCAGATTTGTACGGAATTGCAGGTTGTTGTTCTTGTTGTTTTGCTCTATTTGCTTACTTCCTTGCGGTGTTCCATCCGCCTTTGTTTTCTTTTTTGCAACTTCTCTATCTTGTTCCCTTTCCCTCTCTCTCTCTCTCTGTGTGTGTGTGTGTGTACGTGCTGTTGGCTTTTTTACATGCATGCATTGGCACGCTCCTCTAAATATATTATACAATCACGAAAGGAAGAACAAAAAAACTGAGACACACACACACACACACTTACAGGAAGATAAAAGTATATATATATATATATATATATATTGGGAGGGAGGAGGCGGAAGAGAAGCAGTAGTCCGAAATGTTTCGTCCCTTTCGCGTCTTCGGGGTGTCCCTCCTTGTTGGTGGTGTGCTGGACACACCGGGGCGGTTTTGCGCCATGGGTGGTGGGAATAACAATAATACCAATAACGATAACCGCAACAAGGATGGAAGAAATGGCAAAGAGGGCATGGGGGACGCGACGCCGCCGAAGAGCTCCACGTCCTCCACGTCTAGCCTTCTCTCTGGGAAGCGTCACCCGAAGGGGTTTGAGGCGTTTTATTCAAAATACATTTTGGGGAAGATGCCATTTGCGCGTGTTCCCGCGGAATCCGTCAAGCGCGCTTACACCATGTCTCCTGAGGAGCGCATTTTGACGATGAATTTGGCGGCCAAGGCTCTCAAGTGGAAACGCATACGCCGGATAGGAATTATTTGCTTTCTTCTGTCGGCGATTGCCGTGGCCAGAATGTATGTTGCGAGGTCGTACATTGTTGGGGACATCAATAACTACGCGGCAGTCGCCGTAGATTTGTCGAAGCATACGGCGGCATTTCTTGACGAAAAAGGAAGGTATCTGGGTGTGCGCAACTTTGTGGATTATAGGGCCTTTGAAGCCTCGTGTGACAAGGACATGGATATTTTTGTTTTATTTCATACCTATTATCCCTGGGTTCCCATGTTGCTTCTGTGTCTCCTACCTCTTCTGGCGGCGACCAACTCGAACTTTAGTCGTTCGGCAAAAATGGCGTCTGCTGTGGCGGAAAAGAGTCGATTCAATTTTAAACGCGAAATCTCCGTCTCTACTCGTCTAGGGGATGTTGCCGGCTTAACTGAGGCAAAGCATGAGGTGGTGGAGGTGATTGACTTCTTGAAGAGTCCCGCCCGATACTGGGCGTTGGGGGCAAAGCTCCCAAAAGGCGTCCTCTTGGATGGTCCTCCTGGTGTGGGGAAAACACTTTTGGCAAAGGCAATCGCGGGAGAGGCGATGGTGCCGTTTCTTAGCTGCTCAGGAAGTGAGTTTGAGGAGGTCTACGTCGGGGTTGGGGCACAGCGGGTGCGGGAACTTTTTCGTCAGGCGCACGAGCACAAACCTTGCGTTGTATTTGTGGATGAGATTGATGCCTTTGGGCGGAAGCGCAAGTCAGAGACTGGAGGTGGAAGCTCGAGAAGTACGTTGAATGCTTTTCTCTCGGAGCTGGACGGGTTTAAGGACGCCACCGGGATAATGGTTCTTGCGGCCACCAATCGTGCCGATATTCTAGACAACGCCCTCACCCGATCGGGGCGGTTTGATAGGAAAATAACCCTGGAAAAACCCTCCTACAAGGATCGAGAGGCGATTGCGGAAGTTCATTTAAACCCATTGAAATTGGAGGCGTCTAGCAACATTCACGAGTACGCGCGGATTGTGGCTGCACTGACGCCAGGGTGCAGCGGGGCGGATATTTTTAACATTTGCAACGAGGCTGCCATTCATGCCGCGCGTGAGAAGAAGGAATACGTCTCGCAACACCATTTTCATCAGGCGGTGGAGCGTGTGTTGGTTGGATTGGAGCGGAGTGCGGTGAAGTTAAGCGAGACGGAGCGGGAACGCATAGCATTTCACGAGGCTGGCGTTGTTGTGCTACACTGGTTCCAGGAAAAGACAGATCCTGTTGTCAAGACTACGATTCTTCCCCGCGGCCGTCACCGCACGGGCGTCACGCAACGGCTACCGCAAACCGCGTTCATTTCCACTCAGGAGCAGTTGATGCAGAATCTAGTGGCGCAGTTGGGCGGATACGTGGCGGAGGAGTACTTTTTTCAAGATGTCTCCACCAGCGCCGCCGAGGACGTGCAGTCTGCGACAAATAAGGCTCGGCATTTTGTCTGCACGTACGGCATGGACCCGGAAACCATTGGACACTTTGGATACCAATTGGATCAAGAAGACAGTATTCAAAAGCCATTTGGTCCCGTGAAGGAAGATGTCGTGGACCAGTCGGTTCACAGACTTTTGGAAGCGGCCTTGGAAAGAGCACGATCGATTTTACTGCAGTACCTTGATAAGACCCGCGTGGTGGCTGGACTTTTGATGCGGCAGGAAACACTCACCGCACATGAACTCTGGCTCGTCCTCGGGGACCGCCCCGTTATGACAAGAGAATTCCGGGCGTATCTTGAAAGCTGACAACCTGTTCAACAACATTCATGCAAATTTTATATATGCATATATATAAATATATACATTCTACATTTATGTATAACGTGCGTGTTGTGGCTTTGCATTTTTCCCTGCTAGTCACAGACTTTGTGTTTCCGACTTTGTGCCAAGGGGGGGAAAAAAACCAAACACATTTTCCTCTTTTGCACCAAACACGTTCACTCGTTTATTTGGTGATGCGTTTTTTTTTCTTTTTCTATTTGCACATTTTTTCCTTCAAAGGAAACACGCAAGAATGACAACGGCGGGAAAAGTACGCCGATCGGGACTCGAACCCGAGACCTTCGCCGTGTTAAAGCGACGTCATAACCACCTAGACCATCAGCGCTC